CTAATCAGGCTATTTGGCTAGAATCTTATTCCTTTCTATCCCTTGATGTGAAGAAAGGGGAAGGGATCGTCATGCAAGAACTAGAAGAGGCTCCTCTAAGAGGTGGTCCTTCCTTCTATTGATCGGTTGAGTCGACGAGAGCTTTCCGAGAGATTCTCATAGATCGGATGATCCTGAGACCTATTGTACCTCAGTTGGGGAATCTTCCTGCGACTAAGCTATTTGTCTGGCCAGTCGCTTCTCTTTGCTTGCGGGGGCAGGAGTGGAAACGTCTGAGAGAGCGCTTCGCGAAAGAATCGTGTGGCGCGGTTTTAGGGTTCCAGTTGGGGTTTCCGGCCCCCTTGGTCTTCACCTAATTGTGGAAGAGGGGAGGTGAGTATCAACTCAACTCTCTCTCTCGCGCCTTTCTTCAGCTTGTTCCTGTTCGTCTATTCGGGACGGGGCAGGCAGCCCACATACATGAAGAGAGGGGGGGGTTCTTTGATATTAAGGTCTCAAGGCGGTCGAAGAAGGCCACAAATGGAAGCAACCGATGCTTTGGTCATTCAGTTGACTCCTTGCTGCCAGTCCGTGCTTGCTGTCATGCTGGCAAAAGCAGGGGTTTCGGCCGGTTTTACCTACTATTGGATTTGAACCAATGACTCTCGCCGTATGAAAGCGATACTCTAACCGCTGAGTCAAGTAGGTCAAGCTGAGTCAAGTCAGAAAAAAGAAAATAGACCCCTATAAGAGAAAGCCGCGCAACCCGAGTTCCCCAACCTATACGAGGGGGGGCGGAGCGCTAAGAAAGAGAAAGCGTTATCACTATACGAAATGAAGCAGCGGCTAGTACGCTAAGATCAACCAATGTTCGAACGTGGAGCCTTTCTTTCTCGGTCGTCTAGCTTAATCTTAATCTAAGTGGATTCCGATTCACGCGGTCGTTCTCTACTGCATTGGTGTTTTCACTCCCCACCATAAAAAAATGTTTCCACTATATATCTCAGGAGTAGTCAAAGGAAGCGGGTCCGAGTAAGAAAAAATGAACTAAGAACTAGGGCATACAACAATGGATCAATTCATTCAACAAGATCCGTTCGGATCGGACCAGGATGAATGGGATGGGTCTGACCTCTCGCTCGGATGTAAGACTCCCGCCGTCGACAGATGTCCCATGCCACGTTTCGTGAACAGCTATGCCCGAGAAAAAATTGTGATATAGCGCCGAATAAGCCACTGCTCTATTCCCGACTCGAAATCTATAAAGGACTTTAAGGGAGAGAAAAGAGGGGGCCCTACACCATACATCCTGCTGCCTTGGGACGACTGCACGTTACATCATAGCAGAACGACCAAATGAAGGCGGAAACCCCTTGTATAGGTTGGACGTTCCTGCGCACCCGGCATCCTGCAATAAAAAAAAGGCCCCTTACTATAGTATAGGGCGTTAGTGCTTTAGTTTTCAATAAGGACGGCTTGACTAATAACATAGAAAGGGCTTTTTCAGCTTACTCTGCTACAGCGGACCGTTAACAGGGTGGGTGCCGCGGTTTGTGGGCTTGAAGGACTTAGCGCCGTGACAAGTGGTATCAGAGCCAAGGGTTAGGCCAAACCATGGCTAGTGGGAAGAACCCGTAGGCTAGTGCCGTCGAAGAGGCTCGACGGAGATGGTTCGAATCAAGCGAAAGCAAAGGCATTCGTTGGCACCCGAGATGCTAAGGATCGAAGACTTTTTGGATATGGAGCGGCTTGTCGGACTACGTCCGAGGAGGCGTCGGTGAATACGGTTGCCATTGACAGAATCTCGGTGAAAAATAGAATATAACGACTAAGTAAAGAGTTTCGTCCTGGTTCGGAATCACAAGGCTGGGGCGGTTGCTGGGAAATAGCATCAGTAGTTCCACCCGGTTCTGATCGAGTAGGAAGCTAACATACGGTAATGGAAGGAGGTCTCTTCTTCCCTCTCTCCAAGCTAAGGTAAGGTCTCGCCAGTTAACTTACTCGGGTGCTTAGTCGACTCTTTGGCTTGCTTTCGAGAATCATCAATTGACGTTGACAAGAGTGCCATCCCATCCGAAACCTCCTTTGCAGAAGACGAGTGCCGCCCAGAAGACTAATTCGTTCTACTCTACTTCCTTTTCGTTGAGCTATTGACTCATGCCTTTCCTTAATCAGTTACTTGTCCCGCTACTATTGATTCAATTCCAAAGATGTAGGAAGTGTTACCTTACCCAGCGTCGAAGAAAAGTTCCCAGCCTTTCCTTAGGTCAATCCCTTCTCTTCCTCAAGCAGGGCATTCAGTTCAGCGCTACTCCCCTCTGAGAGTTCCAGCATTCAGCCTGTTCTATTCCAGAGCTATCACCGGCGACTTCATCTCTGCAACAAGGAAGAAACTCAAATTCCTCTCTTACCTTTCTACTCAAGGCATCAATTCCCTCCTGACGGCGAATAAATCCTCCATTGGATCCCTCGATTCGAAGGCAGCCCTTGGGCTAGGTTTTTATTATTCCCATAGCCTGTCGATGAATGGAGCTCCGCTCTTCCCCTATTGCACTTCATATCTCTTTCTCCTATGCCTATCTTCGTGGGCGAGCAAGATGACCCAATCACTTATACCTTCGATCAAAGGAATTGAATGAAAGGGGGAGGCGTGGGGAGTATCGATCTGGCAGAAGCATCAGTAGCAGTAGCCATAAGGAGCGAAATCTCGACGTTCGTAAGCGTGATTCTGACCTCCAGTGCATGGTCGCCCCGTAACACCCCTTCCGATTCGAGAACAAATAGCGTTCAAAGGCAGGATTCGAGGTTGATCTTTCCCCCGGCAGCAGACCCAGCTCTCAGATGTATCTATTGAAGCAGCACAAGCAGTTAGAGATGCAGTTCCATCAGTTCCGTAAAGATCGGACTTTCCCCTTGCGCCTGGTCGTTATTGCCTTGGCCTTCGTCTCTTTTGACGACCTAGTTACCTAATAACCTATTCTCCGGTCGGATTTTTAGTTAATTTTATTAAATTCGTATTATTAATCTCGGGCATTAGTCCTTTATAGTTTATGTGGTTGACAGCCCTCACCACTAATAGGAAAGGTCAAAGATCGGGCAGATCAGAATCAGTACATCTCAGTGGTTAGAGTAATAAGGAGGCAGGTACATTCGATGACAGATTCTAGAGGTGCCTATAAGGAAGTGGAAAACCTGGCGGACGCAGTCAAGTAAGGTCTCTTCGTGGAAGGAAGAATGGATGGTACCTATAACCAGACCCGTTCGAGTCTAGGCTATGGAGAAAAACTAGTGCTACAAAGGAACGACGGTTAAACTTAGAACTCTCTTCAATGCAAGGCGATAGTCCTACCTTGATGGCTGAACCCGGGTTGTCTTTCTTAACGGATTGAGTGTGTCACCTACTAGCAATGGAATATGCTTCACTCGCTCCCACCTTACTAAGCCGCTATCGGTGCAGGATCGAGCCTGGAAGATTCCCGTGTGTGTTGAAATCGCTCAACTCAACAAAGGCAGGAAAGGCGGGAAGAGAGATTTTCTCTAAAAAGTAGGGTTGGTTTTTCGACAGGGAACTTGATGGTCCTGCGTAGTACCCGTAGCTTATCCTCTATTTGTGACTTCGATGCTGTCATACATCGTGGGTCTACTTGCCTGCCTGAAAATGCTTTCAATTTGTCTTTTAGACGTCAACTTCATTTGCTCTTGCCTTGTTAATGGACGAGGAAGTGACATGACATATAAAGAATAGGAATCGGTTGTTAAGGACCTTCTTGCCCTAAGGCTTATGGAAATTAATGCTTTCAAGCGCTAGGCCAGGCCGAGATCAAATGTCATCTTAGTCAGATCCCACGAGCAGATGTTCTCGAATAGGCAGGCTGTGAGGCAACTATGGAATCCGCCTTCCCTGATTCCGATCCTGTTGATGTTTTGTCGGCATTAAGGCTGCTAGTGAAAGGAACTCACGATCTTGGCTTAGATGGTTTTGCTCCTGGGAACATCATTTTTCGATAGTAAAGGTACCCGAAGTTTCATGAACAGACCATTCTCAACATTCGCCGGAAAGATCCGAATAGAAGGAAAAAGAAAAGTGGGACAAAATTCCCGGTATGAATAAATATAAGTAACTAGCCATCCTTCTTTATTAAGTTAAGGCCCAAATAAATGCTGCCATATCTGATTTCCGACATTAAAGCATCTAATAGAAATGTACGAGGAGGAATCGAATGCGCTCTTTTGAGACAGCTTTCAATAGAACATAGAGCTCTGCCCTTCTGGCTGTCCTAACGAGGAAAGTCACTTCGTACCTTAAGACCTTAAACGGAAGAGTTAATCGTAGAGCAGGAAGAATTCTTGCTTTCTTTCTGTCCGCTAGTCAGGAATGGAATCGGACGCTACGAATACGAATTATTGAATGGGGGAATTTTCTAATAATTATTAGACAAATAGGACACTAGAACGCAATTCTTCCTCCTTCCCCTTTTTCGACAGGGAATTCCAATTCGATAGATGATTGAAGGCAATTCATCCCAGGAGGAGGATTCCCACGGACTAAAAACTGTTAGATTCTTTTTGGAAGAGTTTCGCCGTTCTACGCGGCCGCCTTCAAATAGGCTCGTGACTTTCCCGTTTAAGGTCTTAAGGTACCAACCCGTTTAGAATGAATCCTATCCAAAGATAAAGTTTTCCAGACTGCGGGACATTTTCCGTAGTAGGCCGAGTTTGACTCTATCGCCTTACACACAGCCCTCTTTTTAGCTCTACCACAATTTCGGTGCCATCACAAGAAAGAATGAAGAAAGCGTACTACGCGCTATACAGGCAGACGGACAGAAGAGAGAGATCTATCTAGAAAGTCAGTCTTCTTTGACTAATCTTGGGTCCTATGCTTGCCCCTTCCTTAATTTAATAATATAGGAAATGGGCATAGACCCGGAAAGAACTAGTCAAGCTAAAGAAGAAAGAGAGACTGAACAACCAAGAACGGCAGGAACTACAACTTCAATCACTGAAAGAAAAAAGAAAAAGAATTTCGCTTACGGTAAGGATGACTAGAAGATAATTTCATAAGAAAGGCGCGGGACTCCTTGAACTTGAAAGAAGCTACTTTCTACTAAGCTAACTTTGAATGCATTTTTTAGCATGGAGAGCTAAGAGACGAAATGGAAAACTTGTGGTAGGACGGAAATTTCCCCTTCTACGAAAAAGCGCTATGGAACTGGGCAGACACCGTAAGGAACATAAGCTCGATCTTCTTCCCTGCCTCCGCTTTCTTGATTGGACGAGTATCCACCTTTCAGTCCTCCATCGATTCCTGTTTATAGGGGATAAATCGTCTGTTTTAGTAACGAAATAAAGGAAAGGTTCTTTTCTCAATGTCATTATCTTCCCTTCCTCGTCTCTCAAACTCGAGGATTACCAGAGCAATTAGGGTGGCTTAACCACGTGACAGATTAAGCGCTGCCATCCCTTTCACTCTCTTCGCTACAATCCCGAGACTAATTATATAAATATTCTTAGCTGTAGCGGCGTAACTGAGACTTCCTTTGTTATAAGAATTCTTCACCTTTGTACGAATTAGAATAGAAAGTCTAGTGAAGCCTGCGTCATCCTTGCTTAAGTCTTAGTAGCTAGCGTACTTCTTTGTGGAACTCCTTTCTTTTTCCGCTTTTCATGAAAAGACGTGTTGGCAAGGAAGGTCCCAAGTGACCGATGCTTAGTTCCCTTTATCTTATCTTTATTCAAGCTAGTAAGGAATCTTTGAAGTTAGAAGATCAGATCCGGGGAACATAGATGCGATCCTCAAGCCAACATATTCAAAGACTTCCCCTCCCCTTTGCCTATCTCTCTTGCTGCTCTACTTCGATGGGTCTATTACCAACCTGATTTCCAAGTAAGTCGAGAGCAGGTAGTCAACTTCGTGCTTCAAAAAGAGAGCACTGAACTTAACCTAGCCCATAAAGGATGCATTGATACAATTGATACGGAAATGAGAGAAATTGATTGCGCGAGATCAAGTCAAGTGATTCAATTCGGGATTTTACTTTTAGTCAATCAAAGCCCCAAGGCTTCGATCACCCGGAACCCTAAAGGCAGCGTGCCCACACGATTCTTTCGCGAAGCGCTCTCTCAGACGTTTCCACTCCTGCCCCCGCAAGCAAAGAGAAGCGACTGGCCAGACAAATAGCTTAGTCGCAGGAAGATTCCCCAACTGAGGTACAATAGGTCTCAGGATCATCCGATCTATGAGAATCTCTCGGAAAGCTCTCGTCGACTCAACCGATCAATAGAAGGAAGGACCACCTCTTAGAGGAGCCTCTTCTAGTTCTTGCATGACGATCCCTTCCCCTTTCTTCACATCAAGGGATAGAAAGGAATAAGATTCTAGCCAAATAGCCTGATTAGATTATTATATCGAAAGACTTATATTCTAGGAAGGTTAGCACTATCCCGAAAACAGCCTACTTGAATTGAATAAGGTAGAGTCAGATTCATATGTAAAGGCTAGGCACCTTCCCGCATTCGCACCTTAAATAAAGTATTAAAGAACTAATGCTACATCTGATCTGCTAATTGAATTAGATATTCTATCTCTTCCTTGGAACAGGTGAATCAGAAATTGGATCTCCATGCCCAGAATCTGCTGCTTGAGAATCAGCTGTGGGACGTCGAGGTAGTGCTAATGCTAGCAATAGCAATAGGGTAAGGGAAAGCAAGCAAGCCAATCAGTGAGTCATTCCAATCAGTCCTTGCATTCCGGGCAAGCCAGTACGGTACCAATGCTTTCTCTTTATGGTTTATAGATAGTAAGTAGTGAGCCAGTCAAGTGAGAAGAAAGGGGAGGAGGTAAGGAAGTGAAGTAGGTAAGCTCAGTCTCAGTCAAGTAGTTAGCAGGTTCAGGATAAACTTCAACGATAGGCGGGGAAAGAGAACTACAATCAGTCTACGAAAGTAAGGTTGTTAGCAGGTGAAGTAGTGGAAAGATGAAGTAGTGAGCCACTCACGTAACGGTGTTAGCTGTCCTAAGTTCATACTTAGTAGCTCATCAGATAGTCCGTAGCGAACTCTTTTTTGAAGTTGAATAAGCAAATGTGGCAACAGGTGGTATATCCTTTTATAAGTAGTTTTGATCCCCACTTTCATCTCTGCTACTTTACTCACTGCCCTAGCGTCTTCTTCTAGTTCTGGGAATCAATTCCATTCTATGCCGGGTTCATTCCACTAGTTCCCCCAAATGCCGTTGACTTGGCTTTGTTGGTTGATGGGCGTAGGGTTCGGGATCAATCAGACCCTGCTCCTGCCACGACATTTGCGCATTTAGATGCTACTACTGTACTATCAAGAGGATTAGCTGCTAAAGGTATCTATCCAGCAGTAGACCCTTTAGATTCAACATCAACTATGCTCCAACCTCAGATCGTTGGCGAGGAACATTATGAAACTGCGCAAAGAGTTAAGCAAACTTTACAACGTTACAAAGAACTTCAAGACATTATAGCTATCCTTGGGTTGGACGAATTATCCGAAGAGGATCGCTTAACTGTAGCAAGAGCACGAAAAATTGAGCGTTTCTTATCACAACCCTTTTTCGTAGCCGAAGTATTTACTGGTTCTCCGGGAAAATATGTCGGTCTAGCAGAAACAATTAGAGGGTTTAAATTGATCCTTTCCGGAGAATTAGATAGTCTTCCTGAACAGGCCTTTTATTTGGTAGGTAACATTGATGAAGCTACTGCGAAGGCTACGAACTTAGAAATGGAGAACAACTTGAAGAAATGATCTTAAGTCTTTGTGTATTGACCCCGAATCGAATTGTTTGGGATTCAGAAGTGAAAGAAATCATTTTATCTACTAATAGTGGGCAAATTGGTGTATTACCCAATCACGCGCCTATTGCCACAGCCGTTGATATCGGTATTTTGAGAATACGCCTTAACGACCAATGGTTAACGATGGCTCTGATGGGCGGTTTTGCTAGAATAGGCAATAATGAGGTTACTGTTTTAGTAAATGATGCGGAGAAGGGGGTAGGGAAGGTTGAAAGTGAAGCCGAAGGAAAGAATCCGAGGAGAAGAGCCAGTGATGGCCTACTGTCCTTTATCTCTACACCGAACCTTAGGGTTACTTCACTACCTTTCCATCTTCATTGACCGAGTAGCTGGACAAAGAACAAAGGAGGGGACCAATCTCACCAATGGGGAGAAGACTTGCGGATTGATATGAAGATCAGAAAGATTTCTAACCTCAGAGACAGGGGGCATAGATTCTTCTGGGGTGTTCTCTGCAACAGATTTAGAAGTGGAAGCATTCTGGAATGTAAAATCTTTTGCATTCTTCTCAGCAGCAGATTGAGGTTATGAAAGAATTAAGCAAATAGGGAAAGCAGTGAAATGGGGGCATACCGGGAATAGAAGCAGTAAATCGGGCGAAGGCAAGCAACTAGCGACCGATTGCAACAAAGATCTTCCAAAATTGGAAGGAGCCCAGTACCAGTCTTAAAAGCCTAGCTGGAATTGGCACAATATCGCGGAGAAAACCTATTTGCGTAAACTAGGTTACCGTCGAAGAGATGTCTTTCCCCTGTCTACAGCTACACCAAATGTCATCACCTTTTCCGACGCCTCCCGAAGGATCGGATCATTCAAAGCCTTTAAACAAAACTCTTTGGACTCGGAAAGGTCTGGCAGCTACACATAGAGGAGATTAAGTAGAAGAGAAGAAACTACGCCCTTCATAGGAATAGGATCAACAACAAGGCTTAGGAAGAGCTGCAAGAGTATGAACTGGGATGGGGACAGACTTTGACAGAACTTCCCTCTTGTATCATCAAAGCGTAGCCAAGGACGCTCCGCCTTATCTATAGAAGCAGTCTCTCGTACAGGAATGCCGATTGGACGGAAAATTCGCAAGGCTTTTCACAAAAAAGAGAAAGGTTCAGTCCTCCGTCGGTGTTAACCTCCGAGAAATGGTTTGGGACGAGCTTTGAAGAAGCTTTGGATGTACAAGAGACAAATGGGCATGCAACTTTCCTAGTCTCATCTTTGGGGCGAAGTCAGCTGCTTAACCTTACCAATATAGGTTACGGTAGGTGTGACTAATCACTAATCCAATCTCAATAACGAAATTCCACATCCTGACATTCCAACATGTGACTCGCTGCCCGAAAAGCTCTTGTTTTTATGCTAGCAGGGTAAGAAAAAGAGTCCAAGAAGACTAATTGAGAATGGGCCCATGGACCAAGATCTCGATCCAGCCCAGAGTAAGGCAGGGAAAACCAATCTCAGAAGGGAAATCAGGATTCAAGGGCAAATTCCTGTGATTCTTGGTTAGCTGACTAAGAGCGGATGGGGCGGGCAAGGAGAGCGGCATTGCTATAGGTTCGATTCATCAATGTCGGTATCTCAGTCACAGATTTCCCATCAGAGGACTACTACGACTACATCATCGTCGGAGGCGGCACCGTTGGCAGCAACGCTATCTGAGTATTCTCGGGTTCTGGTGCTTGAAAGGGGCGGTGTTCCGTACGGAAAACCTAATCTGATGACCCAAGAAGGCTTCCTCACCACTCTCATGGAGGTCGACGCTTTCGACTCTCCGGCGCAAGCCTTCACCTCCGAAGACGGCGTCCCCAATGCCCGACGGGTTCTTGGCGGCAGTAGTGCTTTCAATGCCGGGTTCTATAGTCGAGCCGATCAAGAATTCTACGGAAGGTCAGGGGTGAATTGGGACCTCCGAGTGGTGAACCAGTCCTATGAGTGGGTTGAGAGGGCTATCGTCTTTAGGCCGGAGCTCAAGAATTGGCAATCGGCAGTCAGAGACGGGCTATTGGAAGCCGGTGTTGATCCCTACAATGGGTTTACTTTGGATCATTCAGTGGGTACCAAGATCGGTGGTTCCACATTTGACAGTTCTGGTCGTAGACACAGTGCTGCTGATCTTCTCAGCTATGCCAAAGCTTCGAATTTTCGAGTGGCATGCATATGAAAGTGTTGAAAGAATGATTTTAGCCTCTTCTTCGCCTTATTCT